TCTCATATTTTCATTTCATAATAAAAGAAAAACAGGCACTGTATTGGTTCAGGTGTGCATTGAATTTTTTAATAAAATTATTTTTATTATTATTGTTATTATTTTCCTAATATTATAAGTTTTCTTAAAATTTTCTTAATTTTTTTAGAAGAAAATCATATAGATTAAGGTACATCACGTGTAAGATCACCTTCACATATTAAAAGCTATACAAAAATTTCGCTTCATATGAAAGCTATTTACTTAATCATAAAATTTACGTAATCATAAAATGCATCATAAGTTCACAATACCATTCAATTTTCTTCATTTCATAGAAGTATTCAAGATTCTAAAAAAAAGTATTGTTTTCAATTACTTAGCATTCTAATTTTAAAATGTGGATAATCTGTTTGCAATATGGTCCTTATTTTGATAATAAGGACCCCACTTTAAAATTCTAGAAAAATTTCTGAATTTTGTATTGTTTTACAATATTCATTGCATACTTTTAGGATGACAAAAACTTATCCAAAGAAAAATATTAGATAATGGCCAAAATTTCAAATTTTTATACAATTTCCAAAGTTATATTTTGACATACGTGCAAACATTTAACAATACTTTTGACCAAAATTTTTGGAACCCTTTTCTAAAAATCTACACACAAATTTTTCAAAAACAATACTACATTATAAAAATATTAAAAGGCCACACACGTTTAAAACTAAAAATAAATTTTAATCAAATATGAGTACCGGCTAATTTATTTTTAATTCGTCAGAGACGTAAGTTAAAAATTGTGTAATTAAAAAAATAATTAAATTTTAATTGTAAATTGTAAATAGATTTAAATTGTAAATACAAAGGATGCATTTTAAGTATTATAACTAAAATTTTTCAATCCGATGGAGTTACATATGTAGCACACACAATATAACATACATATTTTAAATTTAAATTAATTCTCTTAATGCAAAGTAATAAAAATCACAACTTAGCCGACTTCTAAATAAATAGAATTTAAAACAATAAACATTTATTATCAATTAAGTTAATATTAACAGTCGACTTGTATGATGCATTCTAAAACCTCAAGCCAACTCAAATTATTTTTGACTGAAAAATTTAAGCCGGTGTAATTTGTTTTTCTCTACTATTATTATACTATGTTGAAAAAAATATAGGGTAAGCTTGAATAAAATTTTATTGTGTATTAAGCTGATAATATTATTGCCGCAGCTTAAACCTATATAAATCTAACAATATTCAATACTCAACAGAATAACACAATATTCTTGATTTTATTTTAAGTTTTTATTTTTCTTAACAGCTGCAACAGCTTGAAATCAAAACAGCTGGTTTAAAAATAAAATACAACACACTTATACATAAAATACAATGAGGATGAGATTTGAGGTATATGAGTGACTAATATTATAAAAACAAAAACAAAAAAACAAAAAAATAAAAATTTTGATTTTTCCTTTAAAGCTTTTTCAAATAAACTCTCACAGATTTAATTCAGACCTCGCATTGAACGGACGCATAATATGTTGTGTGTTTGATAAGAAAAAAAAAATAAAATAAAATGAAAAATATTAAAAATAAAATTTTCTTATTATAAAATAAAAAAAATGGAAAATTAAGAAAAATTTGTAAATTTTTTGTAATATTTTTTTTTTTTAAATATTCTTAATATTTGAAAAATTTTGGAATTTCTTCTATACACGGTAATGGTTTAATTTTAATCGTATTTAATTTTTTAGAGGTAGATAAAAATATTGAAATTTTTAACGGTAAAATTTTGAAGTGATTTTTGTTTATTTAATATTTTTAAATGAATATTGAGTGGTGAATATTAAAAATTGAATGTTGTATGTAATTGTGTCTAATTAAATTAAATTTGCTACTCACCTTATTGTTATAAAAATTATTTTATTCTTTTATTGTGATTATTAATATGGTGCTATTGATATTGATAATTAATAATGGTAATAATAAATGACAATAATAACAAATAAAAGAAGTTAAAGAAATCTTGACTGATTAATGATCATAATGATGATCAATTGCAATGATGATGATTGATAATGTTTTGTTATTTTTTATTGTTATTTATTTTAAGCGTACCGTTAAAAAGTGGTAACCAAGTGATATCGTTTTGTTATTCCATGTAACTTCTGTTTTACATCATTTTTTTTTTTTTATTTTGGAATATAAAATGAAATAAAAGTATAAATATAAAAAAATAAAATATTGAAAAAAAATAAGTAATAATAATAAATAAATAAATAAGAGAAAAAAGTTGTCAATCTTGATTTAAAGCACCTCTTTGAATTTTTTATTTTTATTTACTTTTTTTTTATATTTTTTTTATTGTGAAGATATTCGGGTTGACATAAATTACATGATATACTTATAATGAATGTTGTATGCAATATAATATGTGCCGATATGTCTATATATACATACATATCTATTTATGTATATGTATATATATAAACGGAATGATAAAAATTGAGTACACCAATGTATGTTAAGAAGCGAAAATTTTCTATTATTTCTTTTCGAATTCAATAAGAATAATAATGAATGTATATATATATATATGCATATGTTTAGGAATGTGTAGACACAAGAGTGACATTGAAAATAATGAAGATTATTCTAATTAAAAGCAAAATATTCTTTATTATATTTAATTTCTTATAAAATGCTTATAAAATGCTTATGAAGGAAGAAAATATATGAGTTTGTTTATGAAATTTTCTATATGAAATAGAATTTTATATACGGTAGGCAACTAAATTTTTCATTCAGAGTTTGAAGGTTTTTGCAATCTTCTTTACTATTAAAAAGTCGTTCTCCAAACCAATGTTATACTATTTAAATTTAAAGCAATAATATTGATATAAAAATTTTGAAATGAAATTCTAAATATTTGAATATATTTGATTTTTAATTTTCGCGCCCAAAGCGCATTTGTTTAATTCTGTGGATTCTTAAGAAATGTGTTTTTAGTAAATTAATTTGTTTTAATTGAAAATTTAAAAAAATTTTCTTTAAAGTACATATACTGATTGAGTTTTAATAGAACATATTATAATATAAGGAATTAAAATTCAAATTTTCATTAAAAATATTAAGCCTAAGTAAATCTCATGAAATATATTAAACTTAATCTAGATTTTACTCAGTTGTTAACCACAAAATTATACTGAAAAACAATAATGATAAAATACTTAACTTCGAAATATTTAGACTTCAATCATAACGAATGAAATTAGTTACTTACTTATCAACATAAAAATTTCAATATGAAATTTGAAAATTATGAAAATTTCACTCCGATTTTTAATTTACCAAAACTAAATTATCATTTATTAGCATTATTATCAAATATCAAAATTAGAAAAGAAGATTTATTAAAGCGCTTAACCTCCTTCAAATGAAAACTTCTTTTTAGGTAAATAAGTGTACTTAATAAATATTATTGCAATACTTAATATAAAAATTAAATTAAAAGTAAAAAAAGTAAGTACCTATAGTTATTTAAAATGAAAAATTGCAATTTGTGTATTCAATAATTTGAGAGTGAATGAAGTACATGGAAAAGTTTTGTAAGGATATTAATTTTGTAGTGAATTTAATAACACTTATTGAATAAAAGAGAAAAACCTGGTTGAAATATATCAAAATATTTCCATTTTGAAATTAATTTATTGAGTACTTGCAATAAAATTACAATTTCTTGGAATATAAATATGATTAAATTCTATTAAAAATTAATAATTATAAATTATATGAATAAAATAATAAATAAGTAAAATACTTAAATAAAAAATTGTAATTTAATAATAGTGTCAAATGTATAAAATTTATAATTGTACAAATAACGTGTCAAGAGGCTCACAATTTGAATAAAAATTATTCATTCGCAATTAATTTAAATACGCAAGTATTGTGAGATTTATTTGGGGAGTTTTCAATGGAAATAAATAAATTTTATAAATTTTGTGTAAAATTAATATCCTTTATTATTAGTTATTGTTTTTCAAACACGTTTTCATGCAGAAGTTTCGATAATTTAAGAACCACGAATCCAACTGCAATTCTAATTTTCGGTTATCTGTTTATAAATTTTTAACTGTATTCTTTACAATGCGTTTATTTAATAAGTTGGAATGGGTTCTTTAAAAATATTACATACTTATTTAGTTACATGCAATATGAAATTATAATTTCAGCGGTAAATTCAAACTTGGCCTCTGTTTGTAATATTTATTCATTGTTATACTATTAATATCTTTATACTATTAATGTACTACATATTTTGACTACAAAAAGAAAACTGTTTATCAGCGTACAGGCTGATATTTTATACTTATACTACTAAAATCTAGAAGTAATAAGATAAAGTAAAATAATTGGCTCTATTTGCAATAAGTAAGATAAAATATATTCAATTAATTTTCATATTTATTACAAAATCCATTTTATATTCATTTTACTTACTTTTATTTGTAAAATTTCCATTAATAAACCCTTTGTTTTCTTGAAGATTAAAAAGTTCCTTTAAAAAGTGATTAACTATAAGTAATTTTATACATTTCAGTTTATAAAACATTTTATTAAATTTAAAAAAATCTTGAATTGAATTCCAAAATCGAAAATAATAATTTGGAATCATAAATAAAATTTATTTTTTTAGCAAAAAGGCAGCCGAGTTGGTAAATGAGAAAATGTGGTTAAATGAAAATTGTAAATGAATAAAAATTATTTGGGAAAAAAAATTAATAAAAATGAAATAGCAATAAATTATAATTTTGAATAATTTTTGGTTGAAAAGTGATACTATAAATAACACATCAACAAATTGAAAAAAAAAATCATTTAGAAAGAAAATAATTTGTGCTAGTTTTTCTTTTTCAAGGAATAATTGGAAAACTAAATTATTATTATTATAAAAATCACATTTAATATTGTTATACAGTACGTCCAATATTACAAAAATTTGAAATTGATATAATTTTCGTGGCCAAAATACAAAATTTTGCTGCTCAAATTGGATAACACCTACATGCAATATAATAAAATATTAAAGGAAAATTAGAAATTATCGTAAATTATCGAAGGAAGGAAATTGTAAGTTTCTATTTTTTTTTATTTCATTTAAGTTTCGATTATATTTTTGTATTATTGTTAAAATATTTAATGTTAAATAAGTGTAAGAGAAAGTTAATTTAAATTTGTATACCTTATACAAATTATAATTTTGTTCAGCTTTCTATTATTTCAATATATTACATGAGCGCCTCAAAAATTATTATTGATTCGAAATATTTATGAGTTTTTTATACTTAATTTCACAAAGTTTTAACCAATTTTTATTTTTCTAACAGTTTGAGTATCTTATGTAGAAAAATATTAAACTAAAAATTTGATATAAAATTTTTAAGAATTTTTTGTGTGAGCCGCCTATGATTTTAATATACTTTATACTATTTGAGTGTTTTAGACAAAATTTTTAACGTACCGCGATTTAAACGTAAGCATATTGACTATCGCTACCTAGATAATACCTAAAGACTCTAAAGTTAATAAAAGATTTTGTTAAACTATAATACACCTCTCTAAATTGTCTAATACTGACGAAGAGAAATTTGTAATTTTCTGTTCCCTCTCATACGATTCTTCTCCCTCTTATAAATTTACCTTAACTTTACACTGGTTTAAGGAATTTTGAGACTCTAAAAATTAAAATATGACAATTGGGTGTTTGCATTTGATTAAACGATAGAAGACAATACTTATCATCAATTTTAAAATCATGTTACAAAATTTGAAAAATCATTATGATAAACTTTGTTTTCTCTTCAAATTCATTTAAACTTTTATGAAATTCAACATCATAATATACGTAATTCCATTCCAGTTAATCCTCTAATTCGGAAAAATCCACAAAAATATTTAAGATAATTCGTTTTCACCATGAACCATTTAAAAAAACCAACAAAAATTTTAACTTGAATACAATTTCTTTAACCTTAATCTTAAATAATTTATCGCACAAAGTAAAAATTAAAGTGCCATGAAGAATTTTCTCGTAGCCTTTAATGTTTATCTATAATATAATGTAAAGTGAAAATGGTTCCCTCACTACATAAGTTGTAACAACATTAAAATAACATTTTCACGTATAACCTGAATTTCTTATCTACATATAATTTATCTATTTGGGTAAATATTTTAATAGAACAATTTTTCTATATCCGCATTTAATTAATTTATTCAATTTATACAAATAAGCAATTTATATAAAAATTTTTATTTAGCTGTTTATAAAAATATTCTCAACTATTATAGAATTTTCAACTACTATAGCTTTAAGCAGCTAATTAAAAATATTTTAAAAATTTTAATAATTTTAACTATACTTACTTATATAAGAACCAACTTAAAATTTATTATTGCAACCTTGCATGCAATCTTATTTATACAAAAATATACTTGAACGTTATTCAAACTCTAAATCAATAGAATTTTAACAATAAATCAAAATTAATTAAATTTTACATAAGAATTCTTTTTTCTTAAATATATATACATATTTAACGTCTAAAGAGTATTAGCGAGATAAAAATTTAAATACACACTTAGATAGAATTTTTTGTTTTGTTTCTTAAAAAAAATAGTTAAATTTTATAGAGATTAGAAAATAAAATAAAGAGTTTAGTATTAAAATTTCAATATAACAAATATGGTAAATATTCTATAAAGAAAAAAAACAAAAAACCACCCATAAAATGCCATACCATTTAAAAAAAATAGAAAAAAAAAATTTTCTAAGGATTTAAAAATTTATTTATAAAATATTTTAAATTATTTTGTCTTTTGTAATGAATTAGAATCTCAGATTTAATTCTTAAGAATTTTCTTGTAAATAAATATAGGTAATATATATAAGCGAGTATACGATCAAATTTCTTAAGAATCTCATGGGTTCATGAATAATGTTATATTCAATGTGTTATCATATAATTTATCTATTACCATAATACTATGGGTATTGATTCGCATATGTAAATAAATATTTTTCTACAATATGTTAAAATAAGGTGAACTAAAAGGGTTATTATAATTTTAAAAATCACCCATTGAGCAAGACATCCAAATTCTAATATATCGGATGATAGCGTGATATTCTAAATTGGTCATGAAGGAGTTTACTACCCTAAAAAACATTGGTTTGGCGTTATTTAGATCCTAATATATTCAGGAATATTAATTTTTGAATTAGATTATACCGATACTAGGGCTAATTCAGAAGTTTGAGCTCCCCTGTTCAGGGGAGAGTGTTCTTGAACCATTTAAGATTAAAATATTTTGATTTAAGGTTAACCTACACTTTCCACGTAGGTTACGAGACTGATATTTTAAATTTAAATGTTCAACTGTTTTATATTCCATCCAAAGTTTTTGCTAGTCGATACATACAGGAGTATATATATGAGAGCACAAACAATGTCAAACATTTTTAATTATTCAAGTGACGAAAAATAATGAGAAGAAGATATTGTGATGATTGATCATAGAAATTGTGATAATTAACGACACTTGTGCAGCATAGGAAATTAAAACAGCTTGCTATATCTCATATCAGTCACTTAAGTATGCTTCATCTTATATTAAAAATGCTTAAGTTTGACTCTCATGTTTAATATCACATTTAACATAACAGACCTTTTATAATATTGGCAGACCTTTTTATAATATAAGCTATCGTATTATTTACCTAACTAAATAAAAAGTTGATTATTTCTAATTTAATGCTAACTATAAAATAAATACCAAATACTTGTGTTCTTTTCTAAGTATTGAAAAAAACACAAAAAAAAGTACGAAAAATCAACCAGTTAAATTGTTAACAATTCTCAATGTTAAATAAAATAAAAAAACAACAAAAAATCATCAGATAAATTTTAATTAAAGATTTTTTCAAATAGAATTTAATTTATTCAGAATATTGGATAGTTGTAAAAATAATAGTAAAAAAAATACTTAATAAAAATACTTAGTCCAAAAGTTACTAAGATAAAAGTACAATGGATAAGTGAAAAGACAAAAACAAGAAACCGAGACAGCAAAAACAAAAAAAAACATTTTATCCAATGACTACTGTGCTGAAAAAGTGTTGAAATTTCATTAGTAATGTTAGCTTTTAAAATTTTTGGGGACTTAAGAAAAACCAACAAACCCGAAACACCTTCATTCACAAAATAAATTCCGCAGAAATCTACTAAAAGAAATCAGTTTGTTATTTATTATTGAATTGTTAATGTTATTTGTTCCTCTCTCCCTCTCGCCCTCTCTCGATAGTTATTTTTTTCTCTTTTCTTCTTATATAAGACTATTAGTCCGGCTTCCTATATTTCTTAATAATAAAGTAATTTAAAAAAAATATAAAACGTAAAAAAAATTTCTTGCAATTAAAAAAAAAAATTTGTTTCTTAAGAGAAAAACTCCAATTATTTATAGTCGCGATTTATTGAAGCGGAAAGAAAATTTTCTAATTAAAAATTTTCAAGTGTTAAATAGAAACTTTAAATAAAATGCTATTTTAATAAATTTTTTACAATTTCAAATTGATTTTAATTTTATTTTTATTTAAAAACTGTGCTTATGTACGTATGTAAACAGGGTCGAAACTTCTACCATTAAAAACTTCTAATTCTATCTAAAAACTTCTACCATTAAAAAATTTTTTAATGGTAAAAATTTTTAATGCATTTCTAATCTAGTTTCAATTATATTCAATGTTTATTAAAATATTCCTCAGACTTTTACTAAAGCAAAAATTTTTAAGTTAACTGAAAAATTATTTTTATAAAGAGAATGGTAGAATTCCGAATAATTGACTGAAGTATTTCTCAAATATTTCAAAAATTTTTAAATTGTGCCAGTTTTAGGTGCTCTTGTATTATTGAAAATTCTATACAACCAAATCAAGACACTTGGAACTCATAAGAATCTAACTCATTTCAGCGGAAAAACTAGCTTACTTAAATTGCAAAAATTTTACAATGTTAGCTTTTATCATACATTGAGGGTTGTGGATAATGTTATTATTAGTTTTAATTATATTTCACAAATTTTTTTTGACTGCTTTTTATATTTTACAATAAATTAACTGAGTGATACAAAATTTAAACTAAATTCAATTCGAGTACATTGAACTAACTGTAAATAAACTAAACCGATCAATCAAACAGACTGTTCGATTGATCAAACAGAACGCTTGTTATCTTAAATAAAAATTGTTAAAAATGCAAATTCGTTCAAATTTGAATTCAGTTTTATTTAATCACAATCAAACTATTTAATCAAACGTGTTTGATTTAATTTGTATGAATCAAACTTTTCTAATTTCAATTATGTGCTATTGAAAAAATTTCAACTAGCGTTGACACGGTATTAGACAACAATAATGCTCACATTTTATTCTCATTTAATTTTTTTTTTTAATTATAAGGTATCAATTTACTTTCAAGTTGTACTTATAACAATATGATTAAGATTGTCGGTATACCATAATATACAATTAATAATGATTGACATATGATTTAAATTAAATTAAAATGTTTAAAGAAAAACCGCAATTATGTTATGATTATTTTAAATTGTGCTAACATCTGTTAAGATGCTATAAAAATTAAAAATATTAGATAAACCACTAATTAAGTCAACTATTAATAGTTAGAATGTTTAATAGCAGTCTAAGAGGTTATTGCAATCTATAATTGCTTGAATTAATTACATCAAACATGTTGGAATTGTAAACATGTTAACTTAATTCCTAAAGATCTTTATAATGATATTTAAGTGTAGTTACAATTCCTTGCGAAATTTTTTTGGTAATCTTATCCTGGGAATTTAACTGGAAATTAAAGAGAAAATAAATTTTTATAATTCGTCTTCTAGACATAGATCAATTGGACCCATACTATTTGTAAATATTATTTTTAATCAATTGAATTTATTGAATGTCTTGAGATGCGTTCTAGTACTATGAGATTCCTAATAAAAAATTTTTTCCACATTAAAAACTATTATTGATTTCGTTGTTGAATGGCTTCCACCATAAT